TGAAGGCAGCCGGGGTGATCAGCTATGGAGGGAGACCGAGCACCAAGGGTGGGAGATTTCCCCTGAGCTGCTGTAGCAGGCGTCTTGCTCGATGGAGTCTCAAAGACAGAGAGAAGCCCGCGCTCAGGCTATTCAGAGGGACTGAAGGACCCGAGTTAAGTGTGGTCAGAGTCACGTGGGATTCCAGGGACACGAGCTCCTCTTTACTTCATCCAGAACAGAGTATCATGCCTCGGGTCGACCAGAGCTGTGGGAGTGAGCATGCGCGGGTTAAGGTCACCTTGTTCTTTCTCCACAGAGAACAGCGTCTGCGGGTGATGGCTGTGAGGACAGAATGACAAGCAGCATCCAACAACGAGGTGCTGGAGGCAGCTGCTCCAGCAGGCGCCATCCCAACGGCGGTCCTGACATTTATTTTCAGTAAAGACCGAGCTTCTTCCAGAAGAAGCCGTTTAAGAAATTAGTGGTATAGGCAGTGAAGCCAAAAAGACAACTTTCCTTTTCTAGCAGGAAAAGAAGTAAAGCGCTGAAGAAAGGAAGGAAAGCTTAAAATCAGTTTCCCTAAATTACAGACTTTTTCGGTGGTTCGTACAATGTTTTGTGTTTATTTATGTATGTATTCTTAGAGAAGGCCAGCACTCTCAGGTAAAGAGGAAGAGAGAGAAAGAAAGCGCCCCCTGGTGTGGCATGATCACACTGCAGTACCTTTTCCTCCATTTCTCCATCCCATCAGGGATTAGGTGCATTTATGCAAATGTGCCCCCAAATAGGCCCACTGTGTTTTTTTGTTTGTTTTGTGTTTTCTTTCTTTTTTTTTTTTGCTATAGGGTGTGTGCGCTCGCCAGACAGACAGAGAGAGAGACAGACAGAAAGCGAGAAATCACCCCCCAGGGAGGATGGCCATGCCGCAATCCTTTCTCCTCCATTCCCCTCTTGGGATCTTGGGCACACACACACGCGCCTGGTGTGAGTCTAAACCACTGGGTCCGTGACTTGAACCGTGGTTGACTACATGGGAGTTCAGCGACATAGCCATTATGCTAATTGCTGGTCCCAACTTTTTTTTTAAAGGATTATTTATTTATTTAATTCCATTTGTTTTTTATTATTTTTTTAATTTGACCAGAAAAAGACAGAGAGAGAGAAAGGAAAAGTGAGAAAGTAAGCCACCAGGTCAGGAACTTAAACTGCAATTGGCCATGTGGGAGTCCAGAGCCTTTAACCAC